GAAATTCACAGGTTCTGTTCACGTTTCCGTGGTGAGCAAGCTCATCTCAGACAAAGCATCAGCTGTGGCTTTACGAATTAGTCTGAACGCTTCTCAAAATGACCATGATGCTTCTCAAAATGACTTTGCCGGTCCCTGCAAGGGCCGGTCCCTGCAAGGGCCACACACAGAGGGCCACACACAGAGGGTCACACACAGAGCCCCCAGAGTGGAGAAGGCAAATCAGTACAGGCCCAGCAGGGAATCTCGGGTCTGAATCTCTGGACCGTCCAGCCCTTTGGGACATGATCCCGGACGTGAAAGTCGCTTTACAAATGTAATTTTGTTGTTGTTTTTATTGTTGTTTGTTTGTCAGCCTCCCCTCCACCTCCCCATCGCAGGCTGCACCTTGGCTTCGGCCGGAGCTGAGCAGGGAGGGAGGGAGGCACGGCGGTGGGTCACCGTCAATTACTTTAGCCACACTGAGTGACAGCTGCTGTATGCACTTCAGCTCCATTGCAGTGAGGAATGCAGCAGCAACAGCCCTGCAATCTGACTATCTCCTCCTGAACCTCCTGCCTTCGCAGCGCCTTAATGTTCACCCAATTAATTTAATCAATTAATTCAAGGTAATTGGCAAAAGAAGGAGATGAGGGAGGAGACATTTTTTTTTACCCAGAGAGTTGTTAGGGTCTGGAATCTACTGCCTGAAAGGACGGTGCGACCAGATTCAGTCGCAACTTTCAAAAGGGAATTGGAGAGGTACTTGAAGAGGAAAAACTTGCAAGCGTATGGGGATAGAGCGGGGGAGTGGGACTGATTGGGTAGCTCTTCCAAAGAGCTGGCACAGGCATGATGGGCTGAATGGCCTCCTTCTGTGCTGTAATATTGATTCTATGATTCATCTGCAGGGACCTCACCTACACAACAACAGCTTGCATTTATAGGTCCAGCACATCTTCTGACGTGAAAGGCGCTATATTAAATGCAAGGAGTATTATTCACTGTAAGCGTAGTGACTGTGGAAATGAGTGATCACGTTTATGTGGGGGAAATGGGCCAGGAGCTCAGTGTCTCTCCTCTGAGAGAGAGGAAGCACCCATACCACAAGAGAAGGAAACAGCAATGATCAGTTTTATTGACCAACATTGGATTTCTGCCAGTTACATTCAGGCAATTGCTGTCCCCACAATTATGAATCTGTTACTCAGCAAGCCTCTGTTAATTGCCTATAGTTCTCTTCCTCTATTTACCTTGGACTATTGACACTCCACATGACACTACGCAGCTTAATAATAATAATAATAATAATCCTTGCATTTGATATAGCGCTTTTCACGTCGGGAGGATGTCCCAAAGCGCTTCACAGAACACACTGTAAAGTGAATTGACTGTATATTTGTGGGCGAACGCGGCAGCCAATTGCGCACAGCAATGTCCCACAATCAGTCGTAGATTGAAAATGACCAATTTATTATTGTTCTTGTTTTTTTGGAGGGATTATTATTAGGCTCTGTTTGGAGTAAGGAAACTTGCCCAAGGTTTCGCCCTGTGCCTGGAATTGAACTCAGGTCTCTCGCTTGCAAAACGAGTGCTCTAACCACTGAGCTACAGGACTCCAGCTTGCTGAATGTTTACAGTCTGAACACTTTCCAGTCTGTCCTTTCACACCTCCAATCATCAGTAATAAATAAAATAATAAATAAAGTAATAAATATAACAATAACCATATCCTTATACATCAGGAGCACATCTAACAGGATGTCTAACAGGAGAACTTTTGAAGTGTAGTGACTGTTTAATCTCTTAAACTCTCTGCCTCAATCCCTCCGTCTTGTCTCCTCTTTGCCCATCTTTCATTCACACCTGACGACTTTTCTCTTCGATGTGCCTTCGGTTACCTCCCCTCTCTTTCCAGCTCGGCTTCACACCACATCGCTGTTAAGCACTCCAAGACGCTACAGGGTACTGAAGGGTACTATGTAAATATAAGTTGTTGCTGCTGTTGTTGTTGTTATCGGCCCTGTTGGCTCCAGGGATCTGGTTCATCGGCAGGCTCTGAAAGGGCAGACCAGTCACTGGGTGCAGGGAATTGTCCCATTCAGCTCCCGTTAATCCTGCAAGCCAAAGCCCTAACGGGGTAGGGTGGTCCAAAGCGAGGAAATTGTGTAACAACTCAGAACAGTGAAACACCGTTCCCCACCTTTCCTGAAGGCAACGATGTGTATACTTCCAGATATAAACAGCCCTCCACTGACGCACCGAGAGATCATTCTCTTTGTCTATGCCAAGGTATCATACACTTTCCTGCACGAGTTACTGGGTAGGAATAAGGCAGCGACTGTAACCAATGTATCCTCTTCCCAGCCCAAAGGCAATAGGCTAATTGTCCCACCCAATATCAATCACATAACTCAGTGCACATCAAAGAATAAACCTTGAACTTTGCTCGTCTGTATGATTCAATACCACATCACACTTGAGTGATGCTTGCATTCACAGGCCAGTACGGTATATATAAAGGCACAGTAAGTACATGAACTGTGCTAATATACTTGAATCTGGTATGAACTAGTTAATCCAAGTTATAAGAAACAAGAATTTTGCCAGTCTACTTAATCCTTATCAAGGATTACCAAGGTTATTCATGACGCTTTGTTAATAACCGCTCAAACTATTAGTATGCTTTGCATGTGTGATTAATTCTAGTGAAGTAATAGCTTTGTTCAAACCTTAGTCTTTGGTACCTTGTTCTCTGAGAGACTTTATCGTTATGCACACAATATTTCACACTAATCAAACTCTGTCACCCAGTGTTATTTATAGAGTAAGATTTTAAATGTTTTCCCGGTTCATTTGAAAAATTATAATGGATGGAATGACATTTGTAACTCAGAATGCAAATTCTGAGCATAAAACCATGGGATAGGAAAACCTTTTGCCTGATACTGACCTTCTTATAGAAGGCTTTATCTGGGGTGCACCACAGGAGCTGAAAGATCAACTACATCAGAACAGATGAGGCAAATGCTATCCCTTTCCATATGCCAAAATCCCAAATAAAATTTGTCATTCACTTCATTGCTGGGACATTGCTGTGTGCAAATTGGCTGCTACATTTGCCCACAAAACATACATGCACTTAACAGTATATCTTGTGAAAGACGCTAAACGAAATGTAAGAATTATTATGCCAATGTCTGTGCTTCAATTTCACCACGTCTTTGGAAATGCCCAAAGCTGGAACCTTAAAAGAAACCTAACATTGCATTTGTTGTTATGCAGCTGGCCTGAGCATAGTTGGTCGGAACACACCAGCACCTCAGTTAATATACTCACTGATTGGCGTGAAAACATGCGGCTCTTGAATGTTGCCGGTTGTGCTATAGATCACAATCAAGTTCCAATTATTGAAGGCTCTGTTCGGTGTAAGTGTTTTCCCAAACTTTAAGGATAGGACTTTTTCTGACAGTATTTTCAATAAATTTACAGTAGTGAAAATAACTGCATCATATTGGTCTTACAGTATAACTAATAATTATTTACCTTTCTGAGTCTTGAAGAAATATATTTATCTTTCTCATTTTTGGCTCTAGTTTTATGTCCTTAATGTCTCTTCTTATTGTCATCTTTTGATTCCATTTCATATGTACAGCAAAGCCATTATAATGGAAGTCTTCAGCACAATATCTTTTCCTGGATGAAAAAATAACTGTATCGATAAAGTTCAGTTCATCATGGCATTTTTTTTCCTCTGGTCCCTCTGGTGCATGAAACAGTCATGTTAAAGCCATCTGAAAATGCACTGTATGCAATAGAGAATGGTTTTCAACAACATCTTGCATTTATGTGGTGCCCTTCATGTGGGGTTGCGTCCCAGAGCGCTTGACAATAGCGGAACCTGACACCGAGCGAGGGGGAGAGGGAGGGAAGAGGTGACCATAAAGGCATTTATATAAGACACTAAATAAATGCAATTTGTTGTTAAAAATATTAATAACCCTTGAATTTGATACAGCGCTCTATCACGTCGTCAAGAAGTCTCAAAGTGCTTCACAGAAGACACTGTAAAGTGTAGTGACTGTATATTTTGTGTAGTGATGGGAGTAAGCGGCAAGAGTATGAACTCTTTCTGCAATGGCAAACAAACTGTGTTTCTCCCACAAAATACACAGTGAATGCACTTTACAATATATTCAGTGAAGCGCCTCTTTGAGGTGACTCTATGGCATGACATGAAATGCAAGAATTATTATGATTATTAATCATGTCCCAGTTACTTTCTCCTAAATGGCAGTAACATTTTATATCGACATAAAAAGAAAACAATGACTGTTGTAGAAAAAAATCCAAATACATCAATAATCCACATATATAATTGCAGTACTTTCACAGAGGTACACGGCGTGGATAAAATACACGAGCATCAACCGACAAAAGAGTGGAGAAAGTATATACAGTAATCAACAGTGAACATTTTATTACATAAAGCACCTGTCACCCTTCAGACACATTGCACATGGGGAGGGCTGCAAACAGAATGATATGCAGGTAGATGAAGCACATGACCAAATGGGCTAGTGTTCATTGTATGAAAAATATATTGCAAGGGAACAGTTCCATTTTAATATGCATATAAAGGCATACAAATCTAGTAGATACAAATGGAGGGTTACAATTGGACTGATGGATGATTTACAACTTGCAGCTTCTATGCTTGTGTATGTGCAACAAATTATAATACTTGTGTGTGAGCACTTAACATTTTGTTAGAAAAAATATACAAATATTTTTTGTTTGTTTGATTACTGAGTTTTGCATTAAACTCCAAAGAAGCTGGTCCTGTGCTGCCTGAAACAGTTTCCAAACAAGTTTGTGGCAATGATACTGTGTGATGCACCAGTCAGATTTTACCGACCTGAATGTCAGTCTCATAGAAGAAACACTGCATTCTCTTCATGCATATTTTTTGAACATTTGAGAACAGGTTTGATTGATTTGAAAAGGTGTTCAGCAGACAATCAGCAGAAATATTCATTTTGCTGTGGTTCGCTTTTGGTTGTTTCTTCAGAATCTGAACTGGATCGTGGTGAGAGAAGCCTATTGGACTCGTTGTGCCTGGCAAGGTACTCTTCTACCTCTGTGCCATTGGGCTTTGGCCCCGATGCTAGGCTTTCAAAAGTAACATATGAATCATTTTGGTACTCCTCTTTCTGGGCTTTCATCAGAAACTTCCTGAAACGCCTCTTCAGAGCCCCACAGCAGACGATGAGGGTGAGAGGCACTGCAATCACACATGCTACTGTGATAACCACCACATTAATCAGCTTCTGAGTCCCACTGGCATTAGCTGCTTCATCTGTAGAAAAGATCACACACTGCTTTTTCTTGGGGATTAATCCTTTGACGCAAACACAGGCGATGTATTTGGTCTGTGGCATTAAGCCATCAATGGTTATTTTGGTCTTTCCAGGGCCAACATTGATTCTTCGCATGTCTTTTTCCCCAAATATAGCATAAAGGATGCTAAAAGTTGTGATGTTTGTAGCCTTTGGTGATCTCCAAGCCAAAGTAACAGTATGATAAGTGTCTCCTATCACCCTAACAGATCTGACTATGCGTTCTGGCTCCTGTTGCGTGGAAATTGGGTTGGATGTCATATTATTGGGGTCATCAATACTTCTTCGATCTTCCATTAATTCATTAGGCAGCGAATTCACCTTCGGGGCAATAATCCCAGATGAATCCTCATTTCGAGTGATTTTATAACTCTGTACATCAATGTAAGCAGAAGGGTTGTGCCCAGTTGGGGTCATGGTGGATGTCCCTGTGTCTATATATCTGACCATAAGCTTTCGATTTCGCACTGCTGCCCTTTGAATTTTCATTTTTCTGGCCTTGATTTGTTTGGGTACGCTACTAGTCATCGGTACCGATGTACTGACAGAATCTATTACGAGAAGGGAAACAGAAGCATTTGAACTCCCTACCAAATTCCTGGCACTACATACATATTTTCCAGAGTCTTCATAAGATGATGAGGCTAGACTGAGTGTAGACCACCTTAGTTCCTGGTCAGAATCGTCCTGGATCACTGTAAAACACACAATAAACACAAAACCCGTTAAACTGCACATGAGCAAGGCATTCCCAGCACACAGCTTCAATAAAAACAAAATCATTCGGACATCCTGCCTTACAATTCTACCTGTGTTAATAAAGACATCTCTTTGCAGAGCATGTAATTCTTCCTGCTGGGCTCCTGTTTTGTCTGCAAACCAAAGCCCTAGCTGGTAGAGTGGTCCTAGCTGGGCAAGCAATGGAAACTTAACAGTATTCTCAATGACAAGCTACATAATTGTATCTGGTTAACAACAACAACAACCTGCATTTATATGCACTCTTCATGCAGGGTAGCACCCTGGAGAGCTTGACAGTGGCGGAGCCAGTGGGAGAGGGAGGGAAGAGGTCACCTTAAGCATGATTAAAAAGGATGGTCTTAGGCAGGATTTGAATGTTGGGGAGGGTGGGAGCAAGGTGGAGGGATTGAGAGAGAAAATTCCAGAGAAAGTTTTTGGGGCATATTGGCTGAAGGGATGGCCACCGATGGTAGAGGGGATGGGACGAGGGACAAACAGGAGACTGGAGCGAGCCGAGCGGAGGCAGCGGGTGGTGCAGTGGGGGGCAAGCACATCAGATAGATAGGGATGTGCGAGGGCCTGAAGGGATTTGAAACCGGGTGAGAGGATCTTGAAATAGATCTGTTCGGTGATTGGGAGCCAGTTGAGCCTGGTAAGAACTGGTATGATGGGGGTATGAAGTTTTGTGCGGGTGAGTATCTGGCAAGAGAGTGAATGCACATTTTAGCAAAAAGTGGCCGAAGGCAAGATGCACATTCACAAGATCTAAAGATGAGTCTGGATGAAGAAGGTTCTTCAGCCCATCCAATCTCATCCCACCTATCACCCCACCATCACTGTATTAAGTTGTTGTTTAAAATGAGTCTAGAGTCCTGGCCTTTACCAACTTTCCTTGAGATCTGGTTCAGTCATTCGTTACCCTCTGCGTGAGGACAGATTACTGGCATCTATCTTGAAATTCCCCTTCCAACTCAAAACCTATCTCCTCTTGTTCCACTGTCTTGATACATCCTGAAGCATTGATATGTGTTTAATTTTTTCAATGCTATTTAAAATGTTATACACCTATACAAGGGTCTCTTGCACCTCTGGAGCACCCAACACCTGAACAGCCACTGCTCCTAGATGAAGCACCATCTCTATTGTGCAGACATGGATATTGTTGTGAAGTTACAGGGCAGGCTACTTGTGAAGAAAGTAGGTGCAGTATGTGAAGGGGGTTGCTGCATTTGTGAGATTCAGAAATGTGGGGTAATCATTATAAAGAGAATTATACACTGGTACACTGACAGCCTTTAAATCACCCAGCTTTCAACTGCACTGTTTGTGCTGGGTGGTGAAGGGAGAAAGGCAGACATAGCGGGGACAGATTCCCTTTGCCTTCTTTGTTGCAGACTTTCTGTCTCTGGCAGATTTGAATGCTTATTTTTGTGTACCTCAGCAACTTTTGTTCAGCTGGTTGTTTGCTAAGCCAAAGCATGCCTGGGCTCTTCAGCACAAACTTTAAATACGTTTTAGTTTCATACCTTAGTCAAGAAGGAAAAGAATCCAAGAAAACATGATAACTGAATACTTATTTATGCTCTGACTAAAATCACTAACATCAGGTCAGACCTGACTTTTTAACACCTCTGTCACTCTACCCTATATAAATTTGGGTTAAGTGTCACTTTAGAGGAGTTTAACAAGGGTTAGTAAATTTCACTGATTGACTTCAATGTTTCAGATCTCAATGACTTGTAATTCTGCCTTTTTACGCTCCTTAACGTGGCTGCTGACAGTCATGGATTCTAGAATATTTTGCATGTGATGTTTAAACCCATTTTATTTGTGCTTTGGTCCTACAATATTTTCGGAAGGCCTTATTTAGAATTGTATTCTTACCAACGTATGATCCTTTACCATGTTATTTGGGTTAATACTAAAATATATTGAAATATATAAACATAGATTAAATATTCTATTTAGAAATAGTACAAATTAACATTAGTTCACTCAGCAACAGATAGCAGTGCAACTTTAAAATGCACAGCTGGAACTAGCTGGAATTTATAAACCTGATGTGTGTATCTATGGATACCGGGAATTACTGCAAGGTGTTCATCTCAAGGGTTCCAAAGATGTGAAAGCAAACCTTTAGTGGTTTAAAATCAACACTTGAACCCTAAATTAGAAAATTGCTTTTTCAATCACGCTGATGTGTCCTTTTTTTAAAAAAAAATGACATTTACTGTGAAATTGGTGGGCAGTTTCATTTTTGTTGTAGATGAAATCAATGGCCAAGATACTCCATTGCAGAATGCAATAATTCACTGAGATTCATGTCCGTCAATACAAATTTGTTGAGTGACAATTCACCAGATTGATTTTCAGACACAAGCTAACATTTTGGTTCAACTATTTTAATAATCTCTTTTGACCATTATTTATTTTATGACCATTCATTGAATCTGCAATCTTCCTGGTTTGTACAGCTCAGTTTCTCACTGAATATACGTTTTGAGCCATCAGGGAGTTCTTTCAGCTGAATTTCAAAACAAAATCTTTCCATCAGATACCCACCTGTTCCATTCAGCTGGCCCCCATTTTGTCTGCTCCAGCTGAGTTCAGGAATGGGGTTACCCTTTGTTTCACACCGAAGTGACACGGTGCTCCCCACAGTTGTGATCATCTTAGCTTTGAAGGTGTGAACAACTGGACTCTGGCACTTTCTCAGCTTCGTATCACTAAAGAGAGATCCCGAGAGGTTTTCTGGCCCTGAACATACCAATCGAGAATCGATGAATGCTACAGATGGGTTGTAGATTTTAGAAAAATGCACCAGCTCTGAGAGTCTGCAGTCACATTGCCAAGGATTGTCTTGTAGGCCTGTAGGCGAAAGAGCATTTGAAAATACTGGATTGCCGACAATTCTTGAATATAAACAATTATATTTTAGCTGAATTTTGAATACATACAGCAGAGATTTTTTCCCACACTAAGGGGGAGGTAATTGAGATCTCCATTGGATTATCTCCGAGGTCAGATACCTGGGAATCAGATTGAGACAATTTTTTCCCTTCAGTTTATGTTAACTCTGTAAACCAAAGCTTCAATGGATAGGGAGGTCCTCTCTGGACAAGAAGCAGGAAGCTTGTCAATGTTAAAAAAAACAATGTGGTTTTAGGTAGTTAAATTCTAGCAGTACCACCATTGTACAAACTCGAGTCCCCAACCCTAGGCTCTTGACAACCTGAATGCGTAAACTGTTAGGGATTCAGGGCTGCATCCTTCTGGGGAGAGAGTGCTCATATATATGGGGATCTCGCAGCAACATGGTTAGGAGACTCTTAAACATGGAGGGGGTTACACCATTATAACACCAATAAAGCACAGACAAGATAGATTCAGCATGCTCCATAGTCCATAGCACTGAAACAGGTTATTTGACTCAGCAAGTCTGCACTGGCGATACTTACCAATGATAAGTTTGGAATTGTCAGTTGGTGAATTTGGATTGGCTAGTAACGGAGGACTCAGCCATGTTAAAATCGTCTCTGATGAGATTGTGGTCAGCCTGTTACTTGATAAATCCAGGTAGGTGATGTTTCTGATGTGAGCAATTGCCTGGATGGGGAATGAACGGAGTCTGTTACCATGCAAATCAAGCAGCCGAAGTTGTGGAATGTAGGAGAGTGCTTCCCACGGGAAGGATGAGAGGGCATTGCCATCCAGCCGGAGCTCTCGTAAAGTCACCATATCCTGCAAACTCTGCCCATTGAAATTGCTGATGGAGTTACAAGACAACCAAAGATACTCCAAACTGGAGAGCGAGGAAAACGCTTGGGTTGAAACTCGCCTGATGGGTGTCTTTTCAATCACCAGCTTTAATGTTTCAGTCGGGATGTTGTTCGGTATCGATGTCATTTCTGGGTTGTTACACAGAACAGTTCTGGAATCAAACAGAATACAACTTTGTTCAGTTATTCACATCAAGCTACAGAATAAACAATGTTCTACATTGGAGATAACAAAATAGTAATTTGTCTAATGATTATTGTTTCTCTTCTAATTTGCTCCCACTTTTTCACCTGAGTTGGGGAATGATGGTTTTCTGTGGCTTTTCTTTACATGTGAGCCTACACTGAGAATATCAGCAAGCTATTGAACTGTGGAAGCACCATAGCTGAGCCTGATCTTGTGTTTTGATGTTAATACACACACTTTCCAGCATGGCACACTGGATAGCAATCGCCTCTCGTCTTTGGACCCTAAGGCCAATTGAAGTCCTGCTCCAGTTGGGCTAAGCTAACTCAGCACCAAAGAAAGACTAAAGTTGAGACCTTTCTAGTTTGTATAATTCATTATTATGGCACTCTATGCTTTCATCAATGAGCCATGATGAGGGAAAAAAACACTTATCTACTTTTAACTTAATTTATAGAAGAAAAATGTTGTTATTGAATTTGGATGTACCACTGGCTGGAGTGCTATAACAAAAAGTTGCAGATGGAAAATTGATATTAATACTTATCTTATTCAAGGAGGGGAGGGTAATGAGCAGTAGGCAATTTAAACTTACAAAAAAAAATGTGTAAAACAGTATGGTACAATTTGTCACCATTCAATCCAGAAAACACTATGTAAATCTTCTCACGTAAGTGAGATACTTTTACTAATTTCCTTTAAGTATAGTACGGCATAGAGATTAGACACAACACTTCAACATAGATTTCATGCTTAAAACATTATTATCGAGTACACTGTCCATACTCATCAGTAATACACAAAGACATTGGCATCTAAATGCAAGTGTCTTAAAAAAGAATAAAGGGAATCTGCAGAAAAGGATGGAAAAAACCTTTACTCATCATTAAGTAGATACTAAAGGATAATGGCATCAAGGGAACAAATGCTCTTTTATTGTATGCGCTTTAATATAACCTAGCATTATATTTAAAATTTAGACAGTTACTTGCAGTATTTCAATATTTACTATTATTTTAGTAGAAATCCACCTTCAAACAAAAAAAGTAATATAGTTGTTGTAAGTCAAAATATTGCTCTATCTAAGAATCATATCTGCAGTGAAAATGTATGAGAATTGTATCATAATCTCCATTACAACACAAAATAAACATATGATCGACATCAAATAGTCAAATTGTGTCCTTAGAGTGGAATAAAATGACAAATCTCTTTGCAATTAAACTTATGTAATCACAAATAGGAATTCCTATCTTATCACAATTAAAATTTTCAAGGGAGATAAGAAGAGAAAGTGTTTTCTCCTTGTTCATCTCAAATAAAATAGACATTGTCATGGTACCTTGTCTTGAGGCCATCACTACGATTGCGAAAGGTACAGCTGCACTGTGAAGGACATTGGCAGAATGCTACAATCAAATATCCAAAGAACAAGAAGCAAAATAAATAAATATTGAGCAACATTTTCTTTGCTGACTATTGTACTGGAGATCTGAAGGTCTGTTCTATTCAGTACTGCATCAGCAGCATCTCTCTCTTCATAGCTGAAAATCCCACAGAGATCAGCTGCTACAGAATGAATCCCAAGATAAAAAGGATAGAAAAGGATTAATGATGGGGACTTTAGTTATTTTCACTTAGGTGCTTATTGCTTCCTGGAATCATGAGGAATGAATGGCACTTACCCTATATACAGCCGGAGCAATATACTGAGAGAATGGAGTTGCAGAGTGACCAAGCCATTTCATGTGTGTAAATTGTTGGTGTTATTTTCCCCATTTTTTTTACAGTATTATGTTCAAATCAAAACCAGTGCAGTAAAAATATGTCATTTAAACCATTTAAGGACTTTGTGTTATTTGTGATAGTTAAGCTTTGTATTGCATTTCAGAAATGTACATTTCATCCGAGCAAAAGTTACTGGGGAATATTGTAACAAGGGAGCATTCATTTTCAAGTAAATAAAAATACTTGCCTTTGATATACAAATCATGTCCATCTTAAACCCTCAAATAGTTGAATAATCAACTTAGATGGGAGACATATTTTAACTTGGATAGATTCAGAGTCAGTTTCAAACAACTTTTTCTGGATGATTTGTTTGTCGTAAAGTGATTACATTTTTAGACCAATGTGCCAATGATCTTTCTTTACTTCCTTCACTGCAGGAGGAAAGAAACAAAATTCCAAAGTTACCTATCAATGAATATAGATAAATAGAGAGGGATCCAAATAGTATTTGCCAAAATATCCTAAGGAATGCAATACACACAGCTATATATTGGAATTTCTGGACTGTTTGGATTTAAACATTTGGATTTAAAGACTCAGTATTTGATTTGTGCCTTATATGAAGCTGCATTTAAAAATCATAGGTTAAATTAAGACTGCAGCATAAATTTGCTTGCTGCCAAATGTATGATATTTGCTCAATATTAAACTTTGCCTGGTCCCAATTCCCATGTTGAGTCTTTGTGATGAGATATACCTACCTCTTCCAGGAATTGAGGCTGCCCCAATTATATAACTGTGCATTTAACATCTACTTATCAAATGCATAAATCCAACTTGATATCAAACTTAATATTAAACAGTTTTAAAGCAGTATCCTATTCTATCCTACCCTTACAATTGTGACATAAATATTTCAAATGCCATGTCTATACTGAGTACAGTCACTGTACTCTTCATTATCATACAAATATGTACGGAATAAAGACAATACGTTTTAAATGTGTCTTTCCACTAATGCAACTTCCTTTCATGAATGTATATTATGCCTCTTACGCATAAGCTGTTTATTTTTCCTCTGAATAGAGATTGGTCCATTTATATCTGCTTATAAATCGAGCTTGTAAAAATTGTGTTGAAGCATTGACTTTTATATGTCATTTCACAAATTTGTACAGATTGTGAGTTATGTATTGTAACCTATTACACAATCATGTCTGCTTATAAATCAAATGCAAAAGACCTGGCTTTCACATCAAATGCAAATGCAAAAGCTATATTACAAAATTCACCACATGCTTTTTGTGATATATAAAAAGCATACTTATTTTAATGAAATCTGATTTAACTTAGATGGAGTGAGAGATGGATTCTTTCTTCATTGTGGTATGCTTAGTCCTAGAGTTTGATTGACATTAATGATCACTTGGTTATTACCAATATTTTTTCATGGGTTCAACTGAAGTTCACATCAATAGCACTTTAATATTCAGAATAATGATTTAATATTCAGAATAATGACCAATGATCACAATTTAAAATAACCACAATGTAAAATAACATTGGACAAGAGTTTATCAAAAGCTAGGTCAGGTTCTCTAAAGGCAGAAATCATTTGTGCATTGATTTCTAAAAATGTTCTTTCTGATCACAAGGCAGAAATATTTTTCAGCTTGTATTATTATCTGGGTGAGCAGCTAAAAACACAGCCACTTCCAGGGAGCAGTGCAGAAGCCTGGTTTCCAAACTATAACTGATTTGAAGAATTTTCCAAAATCCTGCAACATCTAAAATAGTGATCTTTTAGGCCAAAGGCCATGAGACATTTTACTCACTGAGTTTCTCAATACCTCTTCCTTTTTAGGTTAATCTCTAATAGAGTGTCTTATCATGTCATTGAGATGTCTCAAAGCGCTTCACAGAATATACTGTGAAGTGAATTAACTGTATATTTTGTGGGCGAAACACGGCAGCCAAATGAGCGCAGTAGTGTCCCACAAACAGTCGTGAATTGAGAAACAATTTTTTTTTTGTTGATGGATAAAGATAGAGAGAAACAGGAGACCAGAGCTTAGAGAGTGGCCAACAAGCTTATCCATGGTGAGAGTAACTGGAGGAAGAGAAGATGACCTCCCTTTGTTCCTCACTTTTCTTCCCAAAAACAAAGATTTTAGGTAAAGCGGTTCTGGTAGCTAGGTAAATGGTAGGTAAAATGGAACAAAATGCCTAATTTTTTTCTTCTTTGTAGTCACTGTTTGAATGTCACTATTGGGAAAAGATATTTTTCTATGTTTGGTTAATTTTTTACTTACTATTTTTTAAAAACAATTCCATTTCCAAGTGGTGATTCTTGGTACAGCCGCGACCCCCAACACTTGAAAAGGTAGAAAGAGAGTCTCAGAACATTTTGGTAACTTGCAATGTAATACTCGACCAAGTCGTATACTTGTTTAAGTTCGAGCCTTGCAGCTAAATAATCTCTCAAGTGGTGCTTGAAGGGACATTGCTCTGAGAACTGAGAGAATAGATTTTGTTCCTGTTTCCAAAGCAGGGTTCACACAAAATAACTATCTAAGCCTTAAACAACAAAAGGGTCTTTTTCCTAGAATTTCGCAATTGATCAGTTCCTGCTTTGTTGGCAGACTTCACATGTGTGTGTGCATCCGTGCGTGTGTGTGATGATTTTTACTGGGCAGCCTTTTATATACAATAAAAAGATATTAAAACACAATTTAAAAGTAGTGTTGGAAATCCACAGTAAATTCAAAGTTCTAGTAATAACTTTTCTTTTATATGCTAATTTTCACCTTGGATTGCCAACATTTGTTTTTATTTCACATTTCCAGCTTCTGTTTATTTATTTCTAAAACATTTATTTATTTCTGTGGTTGAGGAAGCCTTAAACTGTTGAGAACATTACTTATTGAGGTAGTATTCCAGGGAACATGGAACAAAAGAAGCCCATTGTGTGTTAAAGAACTGGGGCCTTTATATGCAGCATGTACACAGAAACAGCAGAGTATAATAGAGAAATCATACCAGAGATTTGCCTGGAGCATAAACATTTATTCAATCAATGAATGTCATGATACATTTGTTGCACAGATATAGATTGTCGCTGTACATAAATGACTTGAACTACTCAGTTTAATACTGGGGCTAAAGGTGTGTTCTCCTATAGTGAATAGAAATTGTGATTTTCTTGGTAAGTGAAGATAAATAACAGGAGGAAGTTGGAAGCGTAGTATAGGGTAATAGTAATCCTTACATTTGATATAGCGTCTTTCAGATTGGGAGGATGTTTCAAAGTGCCTCACAAGTTTAGTGACAGCTTATTTTGCAGGGAAAAATGGCAGACTATTTGCATATAGCAATGTTCCACAAACAACCATGAAGTGAAGACTTTTCGAAGTGCCATGAGGATAACCATAACAACACTAGTATACACTAATATAGTGCCCTTCACATCAGAAAGACACCCAAATACAGTAGTGCCATAGGATCTTTAACATCCAGTTCCACAGACAGATGGAATTTGGTTTAATGTCTGATCTAAAAGACTGGATCTCCAACAAAACAGCACTGCACTGCCAACCTAGAGTTCAAACTCATGACGTGGGGGCTTGAAGCCACAACTTAGAGGTGAGCGCCTGAGCCAAGCTGACATACCAAGTTGAGACAGTTAGATTTTAAATTTCAAGTTTCCTCTAATTGCTCAATAAGAAATAAGTGGACTGTAGTAAGGACAGCCTTTCATCTGTTGCCAGAAACTGCTTCCTTGGAAAGCCATACCAGAAATAACTGATTGAGCAATGCTCTTGTAAGGTATCAATGGTTCTTCCTCTTCCCACAATTTAACATTTTTGAGCACCATTTCATCCAGTGGACAGTAATGAGTGATATGTTGGAATGTTAATCAAGACTGCAATGGAACTTATAAATCTCTGAGCTGGAGCCTGAGCAACTCTCTGCCATTCTAGCCACCGGGTTACATTTTTTATTCTAATCTCTGATAGGAACCCAAGAGGGATCTTTGTTCAAAGTACAGTAATAAATCTATTAATCTGTGTCACAGCCTATTCTGATAAACAACTGTGTAAATCACAGTGGAGACTTGATTTGTATTTAAGTCAAAGCAGTCCTCTCTTGTATTTCATGAAGTTATCAAATTTATATTTAAATATATGCCAAGTCTTTTGTGTAGCATGTCGTCAAGGAAATGACCTGTCATTTAATTACACTAAAGTATTACCATGAAATGTAGCTTGCAGAGTAAAGATAACAGAAAGAGACATTTATATACTGGTGTGCATTACTTTGGACATTTAATTGTGCATTTCTGATATAAATTGTAATAATAATATTCATGAAGAACCAAGTATGAAATGAGGAAAGGCCATTCAATCTATCGGAGGATAAATTGGCATTGTTCATGACACAAAGCACATCGATTTCTTTCTTGGAAGGACTTGTAAATCCCAAATCAGATTTACCCTCAATTTTAAAGATTTAGGGAACTTATATTTCTAAATATACCTTTCAATACCAATAATAATCTTCCTCAAGCATCATCAAAACTACACCCATTTCCAGAGTTAGACAAACACCTTATAAACTTATTCAACCTCTATTGATTTGAAAGCAATCCAGTATTATATTTGCTTTTTTATGTCTGCAATTTATTTTACTACAGCAGTACAAATGTTACCTCTAACAATCTAAGTATCTTCCAAACACTTACACGTTAATCACATTTCACCCACAAAATACACAGTATATACTTTACAGTATATTCTGTGAAGCATTTTGAGACATCTCGAATATGCAATAAGGTGGTATACCGAATGCAACAATTATTTTTATTATAAACCTTTCTTTCACAAATCTCTGTTACGGTGTCTTAACAAATAATGATTTTGCAGTGTTCACTCACTTCTGGGTTGAAATTGCATCTTAGTCTAGATTTCCCCTATTAATGTAGCATTTTAGAATTTCAACATTCTTTCCTTACTCCACATGCTTCTGTTTACCTATCAGTAAGTAGGAACCTGTCTGTTAGATGATTGGCAGATCTCTTTTCTGGGGGTAATAATCCCTTCCAAATTTGAAAAAAATAATTTAGTTATTCAATCTATGACTGTTCGTGGGACACTGCTGTGCGCAATTGGCTGCCACATCTTGCCCCCAAAATATACAGTAAATTCACTTTGCAGTATATTCTGTGAAGCGCATTGAAATGTCTTAAAGACGTGATAAGGAACAATATCAACTGCAAGGATTATTATTATTATTATTATTTGTGAAATACAGTTTTCTGTGTTATTTTAGGAACTAAAAAAGGGCTGCAAAGTTAAAACTAAACTGCACAAGTTGCCAAACTTTGCACAGTCTGAAATGCTGTGTTAATCAAGTAAATCTAGACTAAGATGGAATTTGTATCCATACATCTCAAAAGTAGTTTCCTAGATTTTTGTATAAAACCTCTCTTTGTATTTATCTTTACACATAGTTTTAATAATGGAATAATTGGGCAAATTATAAATCCTTCTCTGTAAGCATTTTTTTTGTCTGCTTTGTGCTGCCGTTGCTTGTGGCATGACATCAGGTCCTACCTAGAAACCTATAAGGTTTTTAAGGGTCTTGACAGGGTAGATGCCGTGAGACTGTTTCCTCAACTCAGTTCGAAAAGGCTGACCCTTAATCTTGAGACTATGACCCCTAGTTTTAGATTCTCCAACCAGGGAGGAAAACAATTTATTACCTACAGGCAACAGAAGTGAAGAGGGCATTAGCTTTCATATCAGTTCCCTTATGTCAGCAAATTCAAAATTAAGTGTAAAGAATGATTTGGTAGATTTACTCAAACTCCATCTTTTTTGGACTTGATTTGTTACCTGATAGTCATTGCTATGAGGTTTCCAATCTAAGTAAAGAAAGGAATGAGATAAAGAGATGATTGTGCCTTTTGTTATTGTACCTTGGTACCAGTTTGATGGCTAAGACCATTTGTGGTTCTTTATATTATCACCATGTGGGATTCTGAGTGGTTTTACAGCAACAACATCTTACATTTATATAACACTTTTCAGGTAAAACAGAACAGATGTAAATTAACTGCATTCATTATTGGATGCTACCTTGCTTGTTAGAAAAGTCAATTGGAGCAACGCATCATAATAAAAGAAAATAGAAAAGCATTGCAACTGGAGCTTAATGAATATTCCATTTTGTTATATAAAAAATACTGTTAAACAAATACAGTGCACTACAAATTATATAAATGAAACTGTGTGTTTCCAACAGAATATCTTAATTGTGCCAACCAACATTAACTAATTAAATGTAGTCTTTCAGTTCGATACACCATTTCTACTTGATTAAATAACATCTAAGAGCAAGGCTTTATCATTAAAGAAACATTGAAACCATTGTTTATTTGTCACTTAGTCCAGTCACTTTTTTCGAAGGCGTATAAAAGCAGCACTGTATCAGAACAGAAATACCATAAATTGACTGCCAAGCTCACGAGAGCAGCCTAGAATTTTATAGTTATTCACAAAGACTTTGTTGTAGACTAATGAATGGATTTCATCAAGCACCGCAAATCCGATTTAGCAAACGGTACAAACCCTGCAATCATTAAGACATTCTTTTCAGGATTGCAAAATAAGTGCCTAAAAAACTCTGGTTTTACGTAATAACTTGCACGTGTTTACATGTGAAAGACTCCTTTAAGAATCGGCTCTGGGTTTTTTGGTGAACAGTGTGATAAGGGAGCAGATTGGGTTGTTGTTGAGCCTGAGAGCAAGATGGTTACTTCACATCCAGGACTTGAAGGATTCACTGATTTTGAAGTGTTTGGATTAGGAACTGCATTATTAGTGGAAGGTATAGTTTGGATATTTCATTCATGAAACATTAAATTGTCATTAAATCATGTCATTAAATTATGTTTGTAAAAAACACACACACTCTTGCGTTTGTCAGATTGATTTTTAAAATCTGCATCGATTATCAAATTTAAAGGTTAGTGTGTCAATGGCCTTTGTGTGTGTGTGTACGCGAGGGACTTGCATATAAATACGAGTATGAGAGAAAGAGAGGCGTGAGAGAGAACTGTGCATGGGTTTCATAAGGTCTCCTTGGTGAAAACAACATTGTTCTAAAGTTTCGTTATGAAAGTGGGAGTTCATACCTTTAATACCGGGATAGCAGTTAAAATTGCCTAAATGGGAAACTGCATATTTTTAAAAGAAGTGTGGCTGGTCTCGATTTTAAAGTTTTATTATTCAATTTCAGGGGATCTGTGGGAGGGGAGGCAGGAGGAGTGGAGGGAGATTACATTGGTCAGCATGTCATTTATTGGTATTGCTGTATATTTCAATGCTGTTCTTGAATCTTACATATTAAGGCCGCATAATCACTGTTTTGTTTGTGCTTGTGCTTTTTATGTACTCCTCAGATGTGACAGAAATAAATGTAGCCTGTCACACATGTGTCTTGAGGGAACATCGTGAAATTGTACTACTTAACCATTTTATACTCCGGTTCTAATTACCCCACAGCTCTTGTTGGACTGCTTCTGAATGGGTTGACACTTTTAGCTTTTTACAAAATAAAAGAACTTCGAACACCGAGCAATCTACTTATCACCAGCTTGGCTCTGTCTGATTTTGGCATTTCCATGAATGCGTTTATTGCAGCTTTCTCAAGTTTTCTAAGGTGAGTTTGAGCAATTTTTTTTCCTCTAGAATATGCCTTTTTTTTTAAACACACCATGGCTAGGAGCAGGAATATTTGATTACATTGGCTCTTCTTGGGTACGTTTTCTCCACAGGTACTGGCCTTATGGCTCTGAAGGTTGTCAGACGCATGGATTCCATGGATTTCTGATGGCTTTGGCCAGCATTAATGCCTGTGCAGCAATTGCCTGGGATAGATACCACCAGAACTGCAGCAGTAAGTAGTAATAATAATAATAATCATTGCATTTGATATAGTGCCTTATCATGTCTTCTAAACATCTTAAAGCGTTTCACAGAATATATTGTAAAGTGAATTGATTGTATGTTTTGTGGGTGATACAGGAGCAGGGATTCTTCTGTTAACTCTGTTAGCTCCGTTCAGCTCCTTTTAACTCTGCAAGCCAGAATCCCAAATAGAGAGGGTTGTGCTCTATGTTTAGTGTTGGAGTAATGCTTAAAGTCCAAATCTCCCTGACATTCTTTAACAAAGTCATTACCAAACAGGATGTTGAGCTTACAAAGATTTACAAAGAATGTACAGCATGCAAACAAGACACTCTGCACAACCAGTCTATTCTGGTGTTTATACTCCACGAGTCTCCACCCATTCCTCATTGTCATCCACTATTCCCCTCTCCTTCCTCTTGAATGTATCCGTACTATCTGATTCAACCATCCCTTCAGGCAGTGAGTTCCATAATCACATTACCTCTGCGTGAAGTACTTCTTATTTAATTCTCTTTTTAATCCCCTTCTTGCTATCTTATATTGTATCCCCTGGTTATGTGCTCCCCATTCCCACCAGGTGGAAACATCCTATTTGTGTTAACCTTATCAAACACTTTTATAATTTTAAACACTTCTATTATTTCCCTCTTAAACGTCTCTATAAATTGATTTTAAGCTAATGGACTTGTCTGACACCGTAATGCAGTGCTGAGGGAAGTGCCGCCCTTCAGATGATACATTAATCTGAGCTCTCAGCTGCTTGGGCCAGTGGAAATTAAGAATCCCATGACAGAGTATCATGGCCAGCAAGCTAAAGGATAATAATATGATCATTTACTTCATAGTTGTCTGTGGGACAGTGTTGCACTGTATGTGCCCTCAAATACAATACAATTTGCATTTATACAGTGCCTTTCATATCAGAAGGCTGGCTCAAAGTGTATTCATTCAAGTCCATCTTAAATACAGACCCGACATTTTACAGAAAAACTCTCTCCAGGGAGATTGGTCCTTCTTACCTAATTCTGGAAAGTAGTTGATGCAGGTTGGCAAAAGGCAAGGCTTGGGTTCCAGAGTGCTTTGGGGTACTGTGGCATTTGAACTAGAGGGAAGTCGACCATTGAGACCACTATCTGACAAGCTTCCCACTGCTTATCCAGTTAGCACCACCCTCTCCATTTGGGCTTTTGGCTTGCAGAGATAACAGCAGCTGAATGGGAAGAATCCTTGACCCCGTATCGAGAAAAACTTTGTGAAGCTCTTTGAAACATTTACATGAAAAGGCGCTGTGTAAAATGCAAGGATTATAGTTTAATATGAATTAGTTTAACTGCAGACATTAGAAACATGTTACTTAGATTGGTAAGTTAATGTGTGCGTGTTGAACTTTTTTTGCAGGGTCAAGACTGCAATGGAGCAGTGCTATAACTGTTACAGTATTTATTTGGGGAATCGCTGCTTTCTGGTCAGCTATGCCATTGTTAGGCTGGGGAGTATACGACTATGAACCCCTGAGAACTTGCTGTACTTTGGACTACTCTAAAGGTGACAGGTGTGTACCACTGGCAAAACAAACACCTCTTCCACTCATTCAAGGATTTATGTACAACAAAAAGAGTTCAGAGGGCAAAACTACTAATCAATAAGAATGACAAATTCTGAGAAAGGGTAATTAAACCCTCGTCGTTCTACACCTTACTCTTGAAATAATAGCCTAGTTGCATTACGTACAACAGTAGCAATCCCCATTGTAGCATAAACCAAAAAGACCAGCCAATATGCACAAGTTTGAGTGTGTAGACACGTGGACATTGATGGGGAGATGTGAGCAATTTCATGCAACGAGCTTGTCTATGCTGGGAGTTAAATTGAGACTAAATACCCTTATACAGCCATTGAAGAGAGAAAGCTTTTGAGTTGGCAAAAGCAGATTGTTGGTTCCGATCCCAGTTTATCCTGCTATTTAATATCAGTCAGGCAATGGTTGAGACATTTTACAGCTTCAGCTCCTCAGTTTTGGAAATGAAAATCAGCCAGGTTTTTCAGTGCAGATCACTCTCTGGAGCCCCTTGCTGGAAGGATCCTGAAAGTTTGTGTATGGATATTGGGTGTGAACAAGATCAGGCTCATCCAGAACATTCATCAGTATTAAGATAACCTGGCAGCATTTACTGTCAATACCCAACATAGATAAGGACTCCTTCTGGTAACCCGTTGTATTGCCTCCTCCTCTGCACCCCCTACCTCTCTGACCTCCCCTCTCCTCAAAACAGTGCCCGTTGCCTTTGTTCCTCCGGGTCTGGCCTCCTCCTTGTCCCCCGAGTCCTCCACCCTCGGCGGCCATGCCTTCAGCCACTATGCCCCGAGGCTCTGGAACTCCCTTCGCCTCGCTCCCTCTCTTCAGGTCTCTGCTGAAGACCTTTCTTTTCGACTGTGCCTTTGGTCACCTTCCTCCCCCTCCTCCTGGCTCGGCCCCGGGATCCTTTACTGTGAAGTGCTCTTAGACGCCATCCAGTGTGGAGGGCGCTATATAAATCCAAGTTATTGTTGTTATTCTTTATTTTGACTCACAAAAACTCTGCTCCAAAAGCAGAATTTTTGGTGGGAATTCCCTTTTCACTGTGATGTGCAACTGAATTTCTTAATAAAGAAATTCTGGTAGAAATTATTGCATTTGAAAGCACAGACATGGTATCTGTTCTGAACTCAACAGTCACAGGCAAAGACTCACTAACTGAATAATATTGGATAGAAATGTTCCGAATCTGTTTAAAACATTATACCCTGTGAAACAGAAACTGAAGTGTAACAAATAATATTACTTTTTTAACAGCAATTTCATTTCATTCTTCATAATAATGGGATCCTTCGAGTTTATCTTTCCAATATTTATCATGCTATCATCTTATCAGTCCTGCAAGAGTAAATTCAAGAAAACTGGACAAGTCAAGGTAAAACAAAATGCAATCCCACTAAAATAACAGAATTTTTTTTTAGAGTTGTTCATTATTATGGTAGCATATTTTTAAGCTTGGCATTGTGATTATCTGATTAGTCAATATGCTTAGTGATTTTAATTCAAAATGCTTGGATTACAAATTTTACAAATTCCATTCCTGGAACAATGTGATATTTTGTCTAGTGTTTCCAAGCTCCAATTAATGATTGTGAGTACTTGCAATTAGTATAAATGATTATAGCCTGCACAGATTTGTGTGGCATTGAACTTTACTAGATGCAGTGTAAGACTTTTCTTTTCCTTGCTTGAAAAATCAGGAAATAGTTTGATGCATCTAACTTTAAATATTGATTTAGCTGAGTTATTTTAATTTTGGGTGGTCAGCTGGGTGTCTGACGCATGAGAAAAACTATTAAGAGTATGCAAACCAGACAGAGTTCTACAAATCCATACAACCTATACGCATGGACATTTACTTGTGTCTGGAATGTAATGCGTAATTTCCCTGGAGAAACACACTACCTAATTTGGAAGATATTGGGTGCAGTTGGTGAGAGACAAGGCTTGGGTACCCTGAGTGTGGTCTGAACCTAAGCTGTCATCAGCAGTCTCTTGAATTACAACAATCCATCTGGCTCAGGAACTGGAATGCCAAAACTTTGCCAACCACATCACTTTGGAGTTAGCTCAGCTCCAAGGAGACCCTATTTACTCCAGAGAAGATAGTTGGATAGCTGAGTTACTGTGTACCTGGATATAGTACATTATAAGTGATCTCAACTAATCTTGGACTGTTAGATAGATTGAGTGCTAAATCAATAGGAGCATTCGTACAAAAACTGATGACTAAAAATGATCATATTATATAATAGTATTATATTATGCAGATTATAAGTATTGTAATATTTAACCAAACTGAAATATTCTGTTTTTCATCAGTTTAATACAGGATTGCCTGTTAAAACCTTGATTTTCTGCTGGGGACCTTATAGTCTGCTATGTTTCTACGCCACCATTGAAAATATTACCATCTTATCTCCAAAACTGAGAATGGTAAGTAACACTTGCTATTGTTAATTGAGACGAGGGGGAGTGTGCTTATGTGTGTCTTAATGATGTGGGGGGTGGGTGGGGCTGGTATGACAGGAGGATGTCATGCATCCCAGTTTCTGCTGATCTACCTCAAACAGAGAGCTTTCCATAGCATCTCTTTTCTTCAGGACATTGTATCATATTCATTTAAGTGACTAAGTAATTGTTCTGAAAACAAACTTTTGAAACTTGTTTAGTAAACTAAGATGTTTAAGAATTATATCTCACTTATACAGTGACATTAGATACAATAACATGAAAAAAATCTGAAACATACGTGGGAAAGGTCACATTAAAATTTTGACTTTAATCAAGAATAATGACATGTCTAGGTAGTTGTGTTGAATCACTCTCACTCTCTATCAGTTTGCATTTACTTAAAACTATGCCTTTTCTTGCAGATTCCTGCTGTTCTTGCCAAGACTTCACCCACGATCAACGCCTTTATTTATGTTCTGGGGAATGAGAATTACAGAGGAGGACTCTGGTCCTTTCTGACAGGACAAAAAATGGTACCCATTGAAATTGATGGGAAAGTCAAGTGAATAAAATGTCTTTTGCTGAATGATCACAAGAACATGAAATACAGAATGAAACAGTCAATTTGACTTGGTTCCACATTGGAAGCATATCTTAACATGAAAGACTAAGGAAAGATCTTAGCATGAAAGCACTTGTGATTTACTACGATATCTGAATAGGCATCTGCAACATTTGGCTCCAAATTACCAGAAACCTCAAACATTTGCAATAAATTCCACTGTGGATTGATTCTGTTGCAAATAAGTATGGTTCTATATTTCATTAAGTCATCTGGTCAAACTAATGTGTTGAATTTCACTGGTCCTTTAACTCTTAAATTGCCTGTATATCTATGGAAGCTCCCATCTCTGCAAGCCAACATTCTGTACAGTTTATAACAGGTTCTATTATGTTGAGAAGAATACTAATGTTACAGTAATAAAGCTGCTCAAATAGCGTTACTATTATTATGCTAACTCACTAAACTACAAGCCTCAATATTTGAAATAAAAATAAGATTTTAAAAGTTTTACCAGCGATTCATTTTTTCCTTCCAGTCTCTTCTATCCTATCTCCATTTTAAAAATATTATTGTAGACGATCTATTTTGCTTCTTTCTACCTATTATAACCTCTTCTATTTCTCATTATTTCTACATCTAACATCAAAACAAACCAAAGCTACCAAGAAGATTGAAGAGAGATGGATGGTAAAACGTAGAAGGGAAAGAAAGAGAAGAGCCTTTGAGTTAGGAGAAAAAATATGGTTCAGAAAAATGGTTATTAGGAAAGGTTTGGACCAAAGGAAACATAATGAGAACGAATCAAAATCCAAGGTCATATTGAACAAAAGCCAAAGAGGGAAAATGTACAGAAGAACACCCAGGGAAATAAGGAAAAAGATAATTGAAGAGGGAAGGAAAGAAAGAGGAACAGAGAATTGAAGAAAGGGGGAAATGTCAGGAGAAGCCGAGGAAAGCAAAAATTATAAGAAAGAGAAGGAACAAGCACCAGATCGGGCAGGAATATCCGAAGACCAGAAAGAGTAATCAGACAAGAGTGATATAAGTCTGGCGACGGGGAGATGTGGAGAGATCCCTTTAAGGATAATGACAATTAATGAACAACAAATGGGAGGGATTCAGGAAGAATAAAAGGACACTGAAAAAGAGGCTTGCAATGTGGTGATTATACTAAGTTTGGAGTGTGTTAAGTGTTTATTTGAGACCCAAATACACTAACTAACATCCAAGTACCTTGGTGTTCTTATTACAGCTTTCAGGTGCCTTTGCAATACAATCACAGAGAAGTTTCAGAGTGATTCAAGGCCACAAGTGGAATATTCGTAAGGGAGAGGAATCAATGTACAACAAATCAATTCTGCAGAACAACAAATTAACTCTCTTAATTTGAGTAATCTAGATGTTCTCAGAAGGCACTACACTTTATTCAGCTGAATAATTATTCAGTTTATTAATTTTGTAAAACGCATGTTTGCAATTTTTTTAAAAAATGAGTATGATTTTAAAAATGTATTAGAGTTTATATGTTTTATGCTGTCTGAATTGGAAGTAGGCTTGTGTTGGCAAATTAATTAATCATTCTCTTTTTGCCTACCCACCCAAAAACACCTTGAGCTTACCCAGATATGATGTGAAAGCATTTTGCATTTTTGAAAAAGAAAACAGGTGTAGGATGTTAAGAAATATCCTATTTCCATTATCCAGTGCAGCAGCAAACATAGCTTGGAGAGATACAGAATAAATTTTACCCAACCCCAGCAGAGCATTTCCAATTACATCATTGTGACCATTCCATTTTTACACCAGTGAAATTGGGTCTAATATGTAGCTGTTTCTAATAGGATTCCTGAATAATGAAAGCAAAATTACATCATATTCACTTGTGGGACTTCTGCTGTAATGCAATCTAATTTCATAACAAATCACTTAAACTCACTTGTAGATAATGATTAACATAATACAAATGGTAAGTTGTCTTAGCAAGCAGTGAAATATGTACCCAGTGAGCACTTCTTTTCTTTTCCATAACAATGCTGGTTCTGGAAGGTTGAGATCAAATGGGCCAAATGACTGTTTATTCAAGCCTCTCTCATGATTCTGTGATTAATATCTCAAACTTACTTTTTCAAATACTACTTCATTGTGTATTGCTTTGACCACAGATTTCTGCTACATTTCAATCGCCTGCCTGGCATTTCTGAAGAAAGACACAAACATCGGAGTATGCTTATGGATTCTCACAGACCTGGCATACATGTAAGCAATAACCCAATCAAAATAGTGATAAAGGAGCACGTGGATGAAGGTTGGCAGTATCTCTGAGAATTTGAGAGACAGGCTCTCCAAATTAAATTCAAATAAATGCAAACAAACTGCTTAGATAACACTCCCAAAACTTTCACAACTTATCAAGATGAAAAACAATATGCAAATATGTCTGCGCCTCTCAACATGAAAAAGAAACAAGCTGTGGATTTGAATATTTTTCTCAAGGAGTTTGGTAATTTTATGGTGTCATGGTGAAACAATGGCCTGTGTGAAAACCTGCAGAGAGCTGCTGTAAGCCTGCAGAAATATAGGCACACTCAGTACTAGTTTTATGCATTAAAATAGTAGCATATTTCCCAAATCATGTAAGGAATTAGTAAAAGTGGCACAACATGACTCCCGTTTTAAGTCAGGTCTCAGGTTTTATTGCTTTGCTTGGCTTCCAGCGCCATAGGAAAACCATAACACATTCCATGTTCCCAATGCATTTTTAATGGCATTTGTATCCCTATTTTGTAAAATTCACTCTTCTCACCCACTCTTCTCAGCTGCAGAGAAATGATGGCAAGTTATTTTTGTCAACATGGTTTCCTTTTCTGACGAATTGTAATCCTTAAAAGCATTACATTTTATTCAACATGTTCATAAGCCCGCAGAAATCCTCCACTGAAGAATTTGGAACTGATTATGCTCATGCTGTTTTGCTTTCACATCAACCTCAAAGCAACTGAAAGTGTAGCTGTAGCTGCATAGATTGGTTTTGCTATTGCAAATGTTACTGCTAATTCTGATACCCGGCTCATTTTCTACCACTTTTGTTTGTCCTTTACCAGTACGTATAATTTAGTCAATGTTAGAGAGGATAAAAGTGGGGATTTTTTTTTGCATAATGAAGGATTAATGCTCATATTCCAGTTGGTGAATTCTATAAAAGGATATTTAACTAACCAATGTTGGAGTAAGCCTCTGCAATCCCTCGTCTTTGGCACAATGTCAGTTTAAGACAGTACTTATTCTGATAGAGAGCTCAGTGGACAGGGTGACAGATTTGCTGCTTAAAATGATTGACCTTGTCATTCTCAAAACCAGACATGCAAAATTTTATATTTTTTCAGTCATCCTATTTTATTTGAGAAGTTCAGAATATCATTATTGTACATGCTCACGAGCAGGAATTCTTGGCTCACCGATACTGGGAATAAAGCATTCTGAGATAAAAAGTGCTATAAAAATGCATTCTTTCTTTTCTCTCACAAAGCCTAAGATAGATACAGCTTTTCTTTCAGCCTCAGAGCTGCTGCTGACGTGAAGGATGACAACAGAGCATTAGGAAAGGACAAATAATAAAATAAAATGCAAACACTTTATTAAAGACAATAATGAGCTGCAAGTTTTAACACTTATCTTGAGTTTTAGAAGACAGTTATACTCAAAAGGACAAGTATATGGTAGCTTAGTCACTAATGATGCAAGCAATGCACCAGAATTGGGCCATGTGATCTTTATAGAGCAGTCAAATAACTACAAGGCTTGAGGCTTGTGGTGTTGGATTCTGGACACGTAACTGAAAAGATGAAACATGTAATAGGTTGCATTGTTGTGAGTTTCGTCCTCAGGTTCAGATTGTGGAAGAGATTACAGTGCCGGCCTTCCCAGTTCTCAGAAAGCTAATTGATGAGGTAATGCGATTGGGGAGTAATTACAATTTCCTTGAACACAGCATGTTTATTTACCAAATTTGACATCGTTTTTGGTAGGACTCCACTAGTGACACTACAGTACTTGAGAGGGAATGTGTTATTGTCATGAAACATAAATTTATAAGCTTGGTTACAAGCAGGAAAATAGGTGATTAATTGCAAATTTATCATACAGCTGTTTTTTTCAAAAAAAAGTATCTAGATGCAAAAAAAATAGACATGACCTTTGTTGTTCAAATTACTTTATATATTATCTTTCAGAGACTTTATAATGTCTGCAATTTAAATGAATGTATAGTGCAGTCAAATAGTCACATGAAAATGGAATGAAATTATTGTGATGCAAAGATGTGAAGTGCATTCAATAGATTACGTGGCACAATCTTTAGCAATAGTTACAGGGGGCGAGAGAGAAAAGGAGATGACAAGAGATGATAACTTCAGTTTCCTTTTAACAGATTATCTTATTTTTGAATTTGAGAGATCAAAGTGGCAAGTGATTTGTGACCATGGGATAAAGTGAGCCAGGTATCAACAGGGTAGTGGTATAAACAGCCAGCTTTCCAAAAATAAAGTAAAATAAAGTCACATAAGGTTTATTGGGGTATACTGCATAATTAACCTTGAACACTCTGATCACTTACTGGATATATCCTCCCCAACAGATTAATGCTCATGTGGAGTCCTGTAGCCCGGTGGTTAGAGCACTCGCCTCACATGCGAGAGACCTGGGTTTCATTCCCAGCAGGGCGAAACATTGGGCAAGTTTCCTTATTCCATACACCTCTGTTTACCTATCAGTAAGTAGGAACCCGGTTGTTAGTCGATTAGCGGATCACTTTTCTGAAGGTAATAATTCCTTTTTAAAAAAAGGTTTGTCACTCAAGCCAGAGTATCGCTTTTCTAGGGAAAATAATCTCTTCAAAATAAAAATAAAAAAATAAATAAATTTAAAAAAATTAATTTTGTCACTCAAACCACCACTGCTTCTGCACACTTGTACATACAAAGCTTCCAAAATATTTTGGTCTACATTCGGAAAATTAAAGATAATAAAAGGTTCAAACACTGCATGGATTGCTCAATGGATAAAATCATTTTGACGTCAGGAATCTCCCAGGTTCAATTCTAAGGTAAAACTGAGTTAACTGAACTAAGCGGAGTTGATGGACAAAAGACGAATACTGGCCTCAATCTCGGACTATAAAGAACAAAAGTCCCAGGTTGAATTCTCAATTTAGACCAGATTAATTGATCTAAAGGGAGATGGTGGTCGAGATACTAATCAGCCTTAGTGTTTCTTGGCTCCATAGAACAAAGATTGAACTATCCTGGATTCATTAGATAGCAAGCCACTTCAAATACAAATACATTTGATATTCAAATCAAGGCAATGATTTACTGTTTTATAGAGTCCATAAAATAAATAAATTATTGTCACATATTATTAGGAAAGGCCATATACAGAGGCTTTATCTCTCAAGTGATTTCCACATTTATGGCAGTTTCGAAATATCATGAT